TTGGCTACGAGCAAGACTGGTGGAAACAGCTGGTGGTCAAATGCAAACAAAACCGTGATACAGTGCAGCAGATGTCATTGAATACAGCTACGCCGCTGAACTATTATACAGTCTTCCATCATCTGCGTGAATTACTGCCACGAGATACTATTATTGTTAGTGAGGGCGCCAATACGATGGACATTGGTCGTTCCATGCTGCTCAATGAACAGCCGCGTCATCGTCTCGATGCCGGCACCTTTGGTACCATGGGCGTCGGTCCTGGCTTTGCCGTGGCAGCTGCTCTTTACTGCCGTGACTTTGCGCCTGGCAAGCGTGTGCTTTGCGTGGAGGGTGACAGCGCCTTTGGCTTCTCGGGCATGGAAATCGAGACAATGGTGCGCTATAAGCTGCCCATTACCATTGTTATTGTGAACAACAATGGCATCTACGGCGGCTTTGATAAGGACACCTTCGAAGCTATACGCAGCGACGGCGATTTAACGCAAATGTAAGATTGGCATCTTATCTGGGTATATAACTAGTAGCTAATCTTATCATGCTCTTTGCTTCTTTACTTATAGCACGCCGCCATCGGCATTGGGCGTTCAGGTGCGCTACGAGGAGATGATGAAAATGTTTGGCATGCAGGGCCATTTTTGCACCGAGATCAAACAGTTGCAGGCGGCAGTGAAGGAGGCCAATCAGCTAACGGATAGGCCCACCATTATAAATGTGGCAATCAGCCCCTCATCAGATCGCAAGCCACAATCGTTCAATTGGCTCACAGAGTCTAAACTGTAAAACAACAAACACAGTCGTATATATGTGTTGTGTTTGTGTTTTTTATAAGCAACAACGTTTACAACTTAGTTTATAAGCACACAGTTTCGCGCATTCCTAAAAGATTTTCAAAATGCATTTGTCACGATATTTTCTTTGTATATACACAACACACAAAGTTTTAATTGTACGCATCTAAGGGGATTTTGTGCCTGAATTTAGTTCTATATAGATACCTAGTTAAATAGGACAAAATTTATGTTTGTAACTTTTTGTACCTTTGCAGCGAGTAATAATAATTTGTATCATGAAAAGACTTATCCGATCCCATAAACTTGATATACCTTTGCCAGCCCGTCTGTCTGTCTAACTGTTTTAATGCTAACTAATGTAGAGTTCTTTTTATAAGAAATATAACGCACAACTATTACATGTCTGCAAGGGTATTTAATATTCGACACCGAAGATTTTTGTTTTACTTTTTATTTGTTATAAGAAAGAAATTAGTGGAAAATTCTACAACAAACCTAACAAAGACATAAAATGATTATAATTTTGCGGTTTGTCGAAGTTTCTTGCACTAAAAACCGTCGAATTCAAACTGAATTGGAATATCAATGATTGTCGCGCACCAGCTCATCCTCCAGTCCCAGATAATGCAGAAACCAATTAAAGTCCACCAGGCGACCTTTGTGCAGAAAGGGCAATTTTGGACACAACTCGAAGGCAATGTTAATTGGTGCTATATCGGGCACCTGATCGCCGCTCATATCGAAGAAACTTAGCACATCGCGCATTTCAATTTCGCCCTGTTCATTGTGCTGCAGTACTTGCAATATATCCTCCACCAGTTCCAGACTAAAAGGCAGCCTACAGCCGCGCAGCGTGGATCTGACTTGTGCCTCTGAAATGTACGGCTTGCATGTTGGATTGATGTGACTAAAATGCTCAACAATTTCATCCACATTGTTCCACAGTGCGCGTTTCAGCTCGAGCTGTGCGGCGCCGCGCACATGATTCCTATCGCAGCTGGGTGGCGGCATTTGCTCCGCGGAGAAAAACCGACAAACCGTGACAATCTCATGGTTGAGCAGTGCTTCCTTTGAGAGAAAAGCGAGCAGCGTGGATTTCAACGTATCAAAGCTAATGGTGGTGCCATCGCGCAGATCTGCATTCGGCTGGCAGCGCAGTACGAATTGTTTGTACTGCGGACGAACTGCCTCTCGAATCTTCTGCATAATTGAGCGTATGTCCGCCACAGGAAACTGCAAAGAGAAAGACTGGCTGTACAGCTGAAGGCATAGCGGAAGAACATAAGCAACCCACCTCATTGGCATGCTGTTCCATGTAGAGCAGCGTAAACTCATCGGCCGAAATGATGTGAAAGTTGTGATCCTTGAAGCTCAATCTAGCACCTATGTAGAAGTCGTTGGCGCGATAGTATTCCGGTCTGGCTGAACTGAACTTCTCTTGGCCAGGCAGCGGCACACGCGCACGCTTCAGGAACTCGCCGCCCATAAAGCCCGAATTGCGTCGTGGTATCTCATAGATTTGGATGGTATCATCCGCTAGATAATAACTTATCACAAAGCTGCGCTCGCAGTTCTCCCGTATGCTGGACATCAACTTGGCACCAAAGCGCAGAATGCAGCCATCATATTTCATAAGCTTCTTGAAGTCCGCCTGCGGTGCCTTGGGCTCCACTGTAATGCAATTGCCCTCGGAGTCCTCATAGCTGCCCCAGCCATTGTAGGGCGGCAAACGACGTGCCTGAGACGGATTAGAGGCACGCTCATCGCTGCGATCCGGCACGGGTTGTGGTGTAAAGTCTTGAATCCCATACTGGTGACAGAAAATAAATGGTGAGCGTGTAAAACCAATAAATAAAATTGAGTTCCCTAATCTTCACACACACCTTTTCTCTGTAATAGTGCTGCGTGAACTGATCACAGCTGGTGAGCATCACATGGCGTCCAAAGACCTTCAATACGGTGCCAATTTTCAAATCCTCATCCGTATAGTATGCAATCTGCGTCTGGCCAGTATTCAAGGGATCTGTCACGTAGCGTACATCACGCATATTGGTGCCCAGCACATTCAACAAGGTGACGGAGGTTTGCTGACCCGGCAGCGCCAGACCCGTGAAGTCCTTAGGCAGCTTGGCGCGCTTGAGAAATGTGCTGGATCCCTCGCGGCCTGAATTGCGTGGAAACTTCTCCTTAATGTCTATGGTATCATCGGCCAGATAATAACATATGTCCAGCCGACGTACATCACCAAAATCCGAACGATCGTTCCAGTAGCCCTGAAATTTGAGCACGCGCCGATCAAACTCCAGAAACTGTGCAAATGCATGCCGTTTGGGCAAGGCGCTCGTCTCCGGTCGAGGCCTTGGCTTCACGGCGGAACGTTTGCGCATTTCTGTAGTGGGATCACTGAAAATGCAGAACCAGACAGCTTAGTTGAGCTATTTTCAACATTAAAAATGGAAAAAACAGCTTCGGCACGCCGAGGATTGAATACCCTTGTAGACATAAGATAACAGCTTTGCAGTTGCGCGGGGAAAATTGTAAGGCTCGTAATTGCTGAGTTTGATGGATATACTGAAAAAAAGAATATTTCGCCTACAGATCTATGTGATATAGTGTTATAATGTAGGTAAGATTTGGGTTTTATATGCACCCTATATAGAAAACTTGATAAAAAAAAGTATTATTAACAAGAACTGCATTGTCGAGCGATCATTCCCATAGCAGCTCCGATACGGTCGAATTTGACATATGTACTGACTACAGCAAAAAAGCGGACTTATGCAAAGAAACAGACGAACAGGACAGGAAATCTGCTCGACTCAAGTAAATATACTCGATAGGCTCTTAAGCATAACAATAGGGAAACCCCTTCTACAAGGGTTAAAAAAATTGGAAATTTACTTGGGCTCCATTTGCGCCACGGGAACCGCTATGCCGGCGCGACTGAGAAACTGCCTGGTGAAAATGTCGCAGCCACTGATGTGATAGTCCCGATCAAAGATCTGCACATCGGTGTCCACGTTGAGATCGAAAATGGATAGAAACTCGCGTTCGTTGGGTGGCGCTTTGGGTATGCGCTGTCGATGCACAAGACAGCCTTGCGGTATGCCCGAATTCTCCACTTTGGGTTCCGTGATTTGCATGGTGCCATCCTCCAGATAGAAGTAGATTTTCACCTTACGCACCTGATAGGGCGCATGATATACCTCGGTCAGCGGCTCCTTAAAGTACGCATTAAAGCAGAGCACCTGCTTGTCGTAGGCCAGCCAAGGTGGCAGCTTGGTAGTCATCTTGGGCGCCCACGGTGCGTTCGGCTCGGCAGGCGCTGGCGGACATTTGGGATCCACCAGCGGTCCGTTCGGCTCGACCAGCTCCGGCTCACGGCGATCCGAGAGCATGTGTACGCCCTGATAGTGCATTAATGTTTGACGCCGCGGATGACGCCGTTTGCTGTACTATGGAAAGAGGCAGATGCGGGAACTCAGCGGGGAACAAACATTGCTAAACCTGTTTTTGACTACTCACGTCATAGAACTGCGCACCTGGCAGCAGTGGCATTCCCGGCAATCGCAGCATTTTAACGGTAAATTTATGTTTATCTTAAATTTAAACACCTTTAAATTTAGAATTTGTTTTTGCCGAATTTTGCTAGTCGAATTATGTTGCAAAACTAAAAATTTGTTGCAGTCGATTTTGAGCTGCGGAACTGTTTCGACATTTTCTTTGCTGTTCGATAAATGGAACAAACAGCTCTATGGCAATGCCGACGCTTGCCATGGCAGCAGCAGCGCCAGCAGCAACTGGTTGCACCAACTGTCAAGGATGGTAGTCAAGGAGTTCCATTTGCAGTCTGCCCCTCCCCGGCCATTTACCCCACTTTGGCTACACGTCATAAGTTGCATGAGGCCGGCTGAACGTGGGGAATGTTTTGGAATAAAACGATAGATATTTCTCTGTGTATTGACAGCTTGAAGGCGTCTCAAAATGCAGGTGAGTTTTTTGTTTTTAATAATTAAAACTATTAATGTTCAACTAAATGAAGTCATAGTATCTGATCTTTTATGGAATACAACTATTAATCAAAATAATCTATATTGTTTCAGGGCGATTTCAATATCTCAACGTGTTATTGATTGCAGAGCTTTAATAATTAAAATAATAAGCCTTGCAATTATAATCTATTCCATTTAAAAGCTCATATAAAATCCTCTTTACCCTTTTTTTTAAAAAGTTCTGGGTATCAAAAGTCGTTTGGAATTGATTGAAGGGCATTATACATCATTGATTTAATTAGTGACGCGCAGTTGCGCCTATTTGGCTTATCGAAAACATTCAATACATTTCCATGTACCCAAACAAAGTCCAAACAGCCCAAGCAGACTTGTTAATTGAGGCGGCATATGTAAAAGTAGGAAAGCACGTGAACTTATCTCGCACCTCACACTCGGGATTGTCATTAGAACGGGTCTTCAAGACGATGCAATCGAAAGCGTTCCGAGCTACAGATAAAACATAAACGATTTAACGCTCGAGCGACGAAGACAAGAAGCGGGTAAAATGAAGTCAATGTGCGTTGAATAAAGTTATAGGATTATTAAAGAAAAAACATTAATTGCCAGGATATAACTTTTAGAAATAAGTATAGTCAGCCTTATTTATAAAATAATGCAATCTTTATTTGTCCGCTTTAGAACTTGTAGCAAATAAAATAACGTTGGTTTTTACGAGGGACCACTGTAATAATATGTAACTAATATATATATTTTACTTCTCTTACAGTGCGCTGTTCACATTGCTGCTCCTGGCGCTGGAAGCTGTGCATGCAATGGGCGCAAATCTGACTGCTTGGCGTCAACATCGCAGACAGAAGCGTTTTTTGATCTATCAGGATGGTGGCGTTATTAAGGTGAGGCCGCATTAAAAAAAAAACACACACAATTTGACCTCGACCTGAAAACCTTACAGATGGTAACTGGCACCGCATTTCCTGTGGACTTCCAGGAGAAGAATGCCTGGCGCCAGCTGGTCTGGTTAATGAATTACCATTATCAATTCTCGGAGCCAACTAAGCCCATATATTGGTGGGACCTGTGGAATGGACGTGACCTTAAAGGACCACTGCGACTAACCAAAGAGCAACAAGAGCAGGCACAAGCTAATGTTGAGCAGCAGCAGCCAGTGGATGAGCCACAGCAGTTGCTGTATGAATTTGCGGTGGAGTACATGAATCAACGTGGTCAAAATGGCAAAGCCTGTCTGAAGCGTGCGATATGCGAGAATGGTCAGGTGCATGAGCACAATGGACTCTACGCGCAGCTGCTGCACAGGCTGCTCCAGTGAGTATTTGAATATGAAGGTTACACTACGTCTGGTATCTAATTGCTATATACCCTGCCTAGACCCCATAGATCTCTAGCTACGCCCTATCTGGATGCCTATAGAATGGGTAAACATGGCGTTGATTGCCGCCAAGCATATCCCACAGCTGCCCACTGTCTGCTGGATGATTATGTGCACGTACATGAACGTGGCCTGACGCAGAGCTTTGTCTAAGCTATGCTTTTGGATTTAATAATAATATTCGTGTATACCCTACCACATATGAGGGCGCCGGTTGCCGTTGGTTATTGGGACACTTTAATGACCGCTTTAACAAGCTTAAGCATTTAAATAACAATTATAAAACTAACGTCTAATTAAACAGTGTTAATTTTTTGTACAAACATTTACAAAGATCGCGGCACAAGTTAACTCTACGTCCTAATCATTATCACCATTATTATCATCATGACCACCAACAACATCTTCATCATCACCGTCGTCATCATCGGAAACTTTCCAGTCTAGCTGATAGTATTTTTTCGCATTGCTCGAAAGCCATTGTAATGCGCAGTTATGTGTACAGAAGTTACAAGTGAAAAGCTGCTTGGAGGCACTGCCGCGTCTGCAAATATAAAGAAGAAATCTGTTTAAAGACGATCTAGCAAAGGGATCGGCGGGTAAGTGATAATACATTTGTCATACTGTTCGACTTACAACATGTTAAAGTCATGACCAAAAAAATATCCACAGGTTTTCTTAATATAATAGTTTTGGAATTGAAATAATATTGGGCTTACAATCATCTAATATTGCTATAAAAACTATCTTATAACAATGCAAATAATATTTGGATCGTATTATGTGGATCTTCAAGTATTTTCATTCAAATACTTTAAATTACCATTATCCAATTATAATATATAAAAATTATCTTAAGGGAATAGAAATAAAACTTGGATCGTATTATGCACATGCATATTCTCATTAGAATTTTCATTATTAAATTATAATATGAATATAGATGTGCAATTCAGACACATTATGGAACGTATGGCATATTGGGATTATGCGTCTGATTGGACTCTATCTAATAAAAAGAAATCTCATTTGAAGAAGGAGAATTTAATAATGCAAGGGTGAAACGGAATAGGGAATATATATTAATAAAAATCTTTCAGACGAAAAAGAAGAAGAAAAGAATAATATGATGTAAGAAAATTGAGGTTGTAATGGAAATAACACTCAGATCTCTGAATGGACTTTAAAAGAATGAATAAAATATTCGAAGGTTAAGACATAAGTTAAAAAAGGAAGCTCAGAAGGAAATAAAATATCGAGATATTCTGCGAGTTGTTCATTATATGAAGATGGAATTTGGTTGAATTGATATATATATATATTTTTATGTTTTATTAACATCTCGATAACATATGGAAATAGTATGATTATTAGGGCAGATAGAAGAATATGCATAAGGGAATATAAAATAATTTTGGGTTTCTATGTTATGAACATTTTATGAAACTATACAAAATTCTAGTAGACGAAAGACTCCTAAGCACACACAAGGCACAGAACTCGATATTAAATTCAACATAAGCAGCTTTTACTGTAGTTCTTGCCATTCTATTGGGTCGTAGTCGCGATATCTCCAAAAAAACAAACCGGTTTCTTTTAGCAAAGCGCAAAAAGAATGGCTGCCCCATAGACTTACCGCTTGACGACCATAAAGTAGTAGGTTGTATAGAGGCATCTCGAGCAGTTGGTAGTCGTGCAGCGAGCAATGGGTCCATTGTTGATGTGTGCACTCATATAGGGCTCGGGCAGGAGGCGATGCAGTGCAGCATTCTCATAGACAGGCAGGTGGCGATTCATCGTTTGCAGCGCGTGCAAACAATCGTCGTAGAGCGTGACCCGGTTCTCGGGCGAGGGCACGCGAAAGACATTGCGTGTGCCCACGGGCAGCAGCAGGCGCTTCTGGGACTCCAGTTCACGCACCCAGAAGAGACCCTTCTTGGAGATGGAACTGCAGAACAAAGATTATGATTATTATGAATATGATTATGATCCGTCCGTTTCCTACTCAATTTTCTCTACTCACATGGGCGTCACTTTTTGTCTATTATCAAAGAAGTTCTGATAGAAACGCTCATAGATCATGGGTATATAGTTGACGGAGGTGTTGTGAAAGATGCGCACCTGGTTCATGAACTTGGAGAGCGCAGCCGGCAGATAAACAAGAGCGCAGCCTGCAAGAATGAGAGAAGACTCTAAAGAGATCGATATCTTTCTTTTTTTGTTGTTGGGGGAACACTCACGATCGGCGGCTAGCGACTGCAGCATGGGTAGATTGGCAATTCGCTCGGGCAGATGCAACAGCGCCTCGTTGTCGCTCACGTTCAGCTCGTTGAGGCGCACGCATTCGCTGAGCTGCAGGGGCAGGCGGCGAAATTGATTTTTGGCAATATTCAGATGCTCCAAATTGCGCAAGGTGTTTAGCTCTGAAGGGAGAGTACATAGAAATCAGTACAATGGCAATGTAGACGCTGAGTGGGTCGCTTCTTACCTACAGGTAGCTCGGTCAGCTGATTGCCACTCACATTCAGCTGCTGTAGGCGCAGCAGCAGACCCAATGTCTTGGGCAGCTCTGTGAGCTCGTTGTTGGACACATCCAAAAACTCGAGATTCTCCAGCATATAAATATCCACTGGCAACTCACTGAGATTATTGCCAGCTAGGTGTATAAACTTGAGTGTGGTAATATTGAGCAGCCATTTGGGTATTACGGATATGTAGTTCTCTTTTAAATAGACCTCTTCGAGGTCCTCATACAGAAACAAGTCCATGGGCACATCTTTAAAATTTAAATAGCTCCAGTGCAGTATGGTTTTATTCATGTCGAGGCGGGCGAGTTACACAATATTTTCTTTCAATTAATTAAAGCAGACGTATTTTGATTGTTTGTTTGGTTTTTTATTTTTTTTTATTGGCACCCCATATATACATATATAGTATATATATGTGTAGAGATAAACAGCAGTATTTCTTTTTTACGCGGTCATGATCAAAATTTGGCATGCGGCGCCTTCACTGTCAACCATAAAACTGGGCACCCGTCAGCAAACAAACAGCAACAGTTTGCTCTGGTCGCCCAAAAGATTCTTTTTATTTTTGTTTAACAAAATACTCGCGAGCACACAAAACAATTGCTCAGATCGCGTATTGCTTGCAAATGTATATAGATAAATATATATATCTACTATATATTTTAAAATTAATTTATTTTTAAATATTTATTTAGTTATTGGCTTGGTGGTGTATACGTAATATGCCGCCTGAAAGTATGCAACTGCCGCGCTAAAAGCTTTTGCGACATTGACATTGAGTATTGCGTGGATGCACTGCAAGCGGCTGCATTAATTTGCCGCTTGTTGTTGTTGTTGTGGTTGTTTTAGTTGTTGCCGCCTCCTCAAGGTCGTTGCGTCAAAAATAGGCGTGAGCTTTCGCTAAAGTGAGCTTTTTCTGTATTTCTGGTAACTGATGTACTAAAGACTGTAAAAATGCGATTACTGTCAAAAGCTTAGCCTGTCTAAAGCTCAGCCAAGTTTCAAATCCCAGTTAGCTCTGGCTGAGATAAGGTTTTATTAGCGTATTTTCAAATAGCCTTCTGAGGTTTGTGGCTTGACGAGCTTTTAGAGTGCATGCAACTCCATCGGGGAAATTTGTGTCTTATTCGAATATGGTTTAAAATGTGGTTGTCAAGTTGTTGACAGTCGTAACTCTGAAAATATTGGAGCTAAATTGCTACAAATTTGTTATATTTGTGTGTTATGTTTTATGGAATAAAAACTGAATATCTTTTGTTTATTTTACTGCAATATGCACGTTTTGAACGTTTGCTAACCAATTCTTTAAACAATTACTCACACAAATAAACAGCCACCGGTCGACGTTAACGTAAATAAAACGCAATTTGTCTTTTCTTAAAATAAATTAAAACAGTTTTCAATTTTATTTTGACTAGTTTGACAGTGTTTTCTTATGTAAAGCGATTTACCAATAAATTTCGGGGTATGCATCAACATAGGGCGAATAATGATGATAGCTGCTGTAGGGCGAGGAATAATAATCATGATGATGATGATGATGATGAGGATAGTAATACGGCGACGAATATCCATAATACGGCGTAGACACAGCTATGGGCAGGGGCAGACCCACGCTTAAATGTGGCGCCGGCGCAGCCTCCAGTGCAGCCATCAAAAGGCCCAAAAACGCCAAAGTAATTGCCAAGACTTTCATAATCCGTCCAGTTATGTATACAAACTGAGCAGTTCTCATAGTTAAAATCACGCTTTTATACCCATCTGAACTGGTTGGCAAATAAAAATGTGAGTAAAAAATTTCTCCAAAAATTAGCGACTAATTTAAAGAATGTTTTTCCCCACAAGAAAAAACCCAAATAATTTTTTCAATAAATATTTGGTTTATTTTTTTCATCAACTAATAAAGCTCTACACCTTTTATCACAAGTCGCGGTTTTTTCTGTTTTCTTTTTTTTTTATATAAAGTGGGCGTGTTTTTACGCGCCCACCTTAACATTCAGCGTCAGCTGCTTGAATTCGCGATCGCTGAGTAAATTCCATTCATAGCCCAATATCTGTGAGATTTCACGTTCGACCGCCTCGTAGGAGCGCGAGTTGCGCTTCAGCCACAAATGAAACTCATCGCTCCACTCCGGATGTCGGGGCCAGTCGCATCTCAAGATGACAGCAAAGCGTCGCACGTGCAGCTGCTGTAGATTCTTTGCGGTGCGTGCCAGCAGGAGCAAAGTTGAAGTGGACACTTTTTCGCGTATGACCTAAAGAGTAACAGTTGATTTTATTAACAATTACTTGTAGTTATTACCCGGCTATGCACAGCCAAAGTATTTTTGATTAAGTTTTAAATCAGCTTTAGCCTATTTTCTAATAAGGACTAGATTTTTCGATTTTCAAAATTTCTTTAAAATTTATGTAAAAACTGCAACTGCCACATTTTTAATCCTGTATTGGATATACCTGTAATCGATTTCTTTTGTGAGGTGTTTCAAATAGTTTGTCGGTTAAGTTTTAGATTCAAATACATTTTAAAGTATATTTTTGAAAGATCATTTGAGTCGGGTTTTAGGGTTTCGGGTTGAGCAAAATCCACACATACTGAGTGGAAAATGGGTGGAGATGGTTTGGTTTCTTAATCGTTTTGTGAAATATAACTTCGGACGTGAAGTTTAAGATAAAATAGGAAGATTAAAATGTTACACGGACAGGCATTAGGCGGAAAATTTAATTTTTACCTGGCAATTCCGGGTAGTAACTAGCTAGCATATACATATAGGATTAGGGCATTGAGTTATATATACCAGCGTGTCCAGATAGATGCATTGACGGCACATCAGCAACAACAGACTGTCAATGCGATTGTGAAATGGTTTTGGGCTACTGAAACGCGGTAACAGCTCATGACCATAGACGGCCAATGTGTTCTTGTAGTGATCCACCATGCGCAGCAGCAGATCGGTGCGTATGCGCGCCTGTGGTGCCCAATAGGTGATGCTATGCACTGGCGCCTCCGGCTGTAGGACCACATCCCCATCCACCAGATTCTCAACGCGCAGATGAACTTTCAGCCGCGGATTGGTGGCCTTCAGACTGCGCCAGGCCTTGACGCCGCAGGCGCTGATGCTCAGATGGTTGGGCGTATAGCGGTTTTGCAGCAAATGCAAATGACGCAGCTTGGTGTCCGCCAATAGGGATAGCACATCATCATCTATGTTTTGTGGCGAAATTGTGAGCACCTGTTGACCGCTTGTGGTTAGCTGTGTTTACGATTTCCATGAACAAAAGCTCACCCGCAAATTGAGAAACAGACCCACATGCATAATGGGACAATGCATTGTGGTCACATTCACCAGATTTAGGATGCGCATTTTTGTGCAGCAACTGCAAACGACTTCGTCCAGCAAATGATTCGCCTCGAAGCGTTCCAGCACAAAATCAACCAGCTTCAGCGTGTGCAGATCGGTGAGACGCAGCAGCAGTTCCTTCAGACCTTTCAACAGCTGCCCGCCGGTGCCAAAGAGCTTGATGCCTTCGGGATCATTGGGTTGCGACATATTGCAGGGAAAATGATAGACCAAGGAGCGTATGCGACGACCCATGCCCACCAATTCGGGTTGTGGATTCTGTTCCTGACCCTGTACATATAAAAAGATTACATGAGGCGTGTTCTTACGAGAATTTCAGTTATTGATAACTTTTAGTAACTTGATTTAAGTCCACTTCTCTCTTTATATAAGTATGTAAAGGATTATATAAAGTCGGAAAACGCATAAGTATGTCCAAAACGCACTTAACATAATGCCGAATAAAAATATTCCAAAAAAGGTTTCTAGTTAAGTATTTTGGGAATTAACAGAAATTAACTTAGGATACGTTTCTCCCACTTAATACAAGTACAAACCGGATGAAGTTTAAGATCGTTTGTTCTTAATTTAAGTATAAAATACTTGATTTTTTATCTGAGAATAAATAATGCTCGATACATGGGGCTTACTAAAGCTATCAAAGTAGGCATTAGCTACCGCATATGTACTTTTCTCATCTGTTTATCTATGATTCATCAAGTATCAAAGATCAGGGATTAAAATTTCCTTATTGATTTACATATTTCTGCTTTGTTTACCTTATCCATGCTCCAAGACAACATCGTCATAAACTGATAGATGTTATTGAAGCTATGCCAGGGTCGAAACTCGATGCCTCTCAGGTGTCTACCGATGCGCGCCAGGCAGTTCTGTGTACGCATATGATCCAAACAGTATTGCCATCCGGAGTAATAATTGTACTTGGGGCGCGTCAAAGTGCGATCATCGACCACAAAATTGTTCCAAACGGTGGGCAAATAGAAGGCGCTATACCATTGCCGGCAAACCTGGAGAGCGTACCTTGAGTTGGCTATACGACTGAAATGGAGCCTACTTACCAGACTGGCATAGTAGCGTTCCTTGGGCGTGAGATAGGCAAAGATATCCTCCAGCACCAGATTGGGCAGTTCGGACCATCTGGAGTAAACGCGCTTCGATTCATCCCGTTTTTCATTTGCCTCGTCATCATCCTCCTCTATGTCTATATAGCAGGCTGTGCGAGAGAGAGAGAGAGAGAGAGAGAGAATTGTTTGTTGACATTTTATGCTTTCGCTTTACCTTTCTCATTCTCATCGATCTTCCAGCCAGCTTTTTGCATAACCTCCAACTGGCCGCTACTCTTGCGCCTAGCGCTGATTGTGGACATGTTTGTTTTGGTTTATGGTCTATTTTATTTTCTACCTATATCTTTTCTATATTTGCATAAAGATTTGTCTCTGTTATTTACACGACAACAAGCTGTACACAACCACACTTTACGATATTCCACTCTAATTTTGAAATTTTTGGCACCGATTGCTGCTTAATTTTTTTGGGTTTTGTGTTTTTTTTTGTCGGTTGTTTTGTTGTTGTTCTTAGATGCGATTTATTTTTATATAGTTTGGATCGTTCGGTTCGCTCGGACGGCATTTAGTGTGGCGCGCGTCGCATCGCGTCGCGTTTGGGCAACGACTGACACGGTCTTCAAACTAATTCCTTCAATATTCAAATGCTATTTTCGAAAATGAGAACGAAAGTTGTTGTTGCCCGAGTTTTCGTTAAGTTTCGAAATCTTTAAAGGCGTACATTTCGTTAAGTATCATTTTGTTATTTATTTTTTGTTGAATATCGTTTGTTGTGGCAACACGATTTCGATATTGTTCCGTGTTTATTTACATATCGAAACATTTGTGCTCTATGTCGTTGTTATAATTAGATCCGGCCCGGCTTTTAGGCGGCAAGGTCTTAGGGCGGACACCGCGTGGCACGGAACTGGGGCAACTTGTTGCCGCTGTTGTTTTGTTGAGGTGTGAATTATAAAAATAAACGTTTCGTTCGACTCACATTAAACACTGCACGCAATGCGATCCGCAATTTTCTGAGTCTCAGTCTCAAGTAGAACTCATAATCAAACTATTGATAAGCACTTTAGCTCGGTTGAGCTTCGTCATGATAGGCCGCTGCGTATGGGTTAATGTGGTATCCAATACCAGCTCGCGATTTGGAATATTGTAAAATAAACGGGTGCTGCCAGGCACGGGCAAGTATTATGCGTTTGGCGCAAATACTTAATCATATACCTATTTCTGCCTTATATACATATATATTCTTTTATTTTTTTTTAACTAGAAGAAATTACCCGTTGTGGAATCTCCTGTGCTATCGAACATTTTTTTTGTAGAGTTCGCACGATACAAAGTCGCTTTATTTGCCAATATATTTAGCTAAAAAATTGCCCGCCTATGAAGCTAACAAAACAATCAAATCAAAAGAACAATTTTAATTTAGTTTTTTGGAATACGTTTGTGAATAATAACAATTTGAATAGACACATAAAAAACTCATAAGAACAGCCGTTACTGCAGAATTTGAACCGGCAACCTCACTGTTGCTAGTTCAACTACCAGACAACTTTAAGATAGGGTCTAAAATATTTAATATTTAATGATTAATGATATAATAATTTAATGAATCGAATGCGAGCCTTTAAAAAATTAAATCTTCACTTGTGGTAAACGGCAATTATAGATCGAATTTGTCATAGTCTTACAATCGATCCATATATCTACATTACTAAAGCATTTTATAAATTTGTAACCAGAAAGTTGATTTTTAAGTTAAAAATTGTGCGAAAAGCTGCTTGGCAATTCTGGCGCCTGCCTTTGACATTTGACACCACTTTGCACAGCGCCAGCAAAAAAGAAATGCCAATGTCCTTCTACTCGACAGCATTGTTGTTGTTGTCGTTGTTGTCGTTGCCTTGACGATGCCACCAAACTGCTGCTCAAGTTGTCCAGTGTACACTGTTGTCCAGTTGTCCGCTGTCTGCATGCCATTGCCATCAAGGAGCTGCGAAAGGAAGCAACTACACACAGGCCATTGTCATTTCCGGCAGGTACACTTAGCGGA